TATCCAAATTAACAAAATCAGAAATGAAAAGGGGGATATAACAACAGACACAGAGGAAACCCAGAGAATCATTAGGCCATATTTTAAAACTGTACTATACAAAATTGGAAAACTTAAAAGAAATGGACAATTTTCTGGATAAATATCACTTACCAATATAAAATCAAGACCAGATAAGCAAATTAAATAGACCTTATAACTGCTAAAGAAATAGAAACAGTCATCAAAAATCTCCCAACTAAAAAAAGCCCAGGGCCAAATGGTTTCAGTTCAGAATTCTAAAAGATTTTTCAAAGAAGAATGAATATAATTGTTCCTCAAATTCTTCCACACAATAGAAACAGAAGAAATATTGCCAAACTTTTTTTTTGTTGTTGTTTTGTTTTGTTTTTTCGAGACAGGGTTTCTCTGTGGCTTTGGAGCCTGTCCTGGAACTAGCTCTGTAGACCAGGCTGGTCTCGAACTCACAGAGATCCACCTGCCTCTGCCTCCCGAGTGCTGGGATTAAAGGCGTGCGCCACCATCGCCCGGCTTGCCAAACTCTTTTTATGAGGCTACAATTACCCTGATACTCAAACAATAAAAGACATTACTAAGAAAGAGAATTACTGACCAATCTCACTCGTGAACATTGATGCAAAAATACTCAGTAAAATATTGGCAAACCGAGTCCAAAAACACATCAGAAAAATCATCCACCATGATCAAGTCAGCTTTAACCCAGAGATGCAGGGATGGTTTAACATACAAAAATCTGTTAATGTAATCCACTGTATAAACAAACTGGAAACAAACAAACAAACAAAAAACATGATCATTTCATTAGATGCTGAAAAAGCTTTTGACAAAATCCAGCACCCCTTCATGATAAAGGTCTTGGAGAGATCAAGGATACAAGGAACATACCTAAGCACAATAAAGGCAATAAACAGCAAGCCAACAGCCAACATCAAACTAAATAGAGAGAAACTCAAAAGCGATCCCACTGAAATCAGGAACAAGACAAGGCTGTCCACTCTCTCCATATCTATTCAATATAGTTCTTGAGGTTCTAGCTAGAGCAATAAGACAAAAAAAAAGGGGGGGGAGATCAAGGGGATACAAATTGGAAAAGTCAAACTCTCACTGTTTGCTGATGATATGACAGTTTACGTAAGTGGCCCTCAAAATTCTATCAATGAACGTCTACAGCTTATAAACACTTTCAGTAATGTAGCAGGATACAAGATTCACTCAAAAAAATCAGTAGTCCTCCTTTACACAGATGATAAATGGACTGAGAAAGAAATCAGAGAAATATCACCCTTCACAATAGCTGCAAATAACATAAGATATCTCAGAGAAACTTTAACCAAGTAAGTGGAAGACCTCTATGACAAGAACTTTTAAATCTTTGAAGAAAGAAATTGAAGAAGACACCAGAAAATGGAAAGATCTCCCATGCTCTTGGTTAGGTAGAATTAACATAGTAAAAATGGCAACCTTAACAAAAGCAATCTACAGATTCAATGCAATGCCCATCAAAATCCCAGCAAAATTCTTCACAGACCTCAAAAGAATGGTACTCAACTTCATATGGAAAAGCAAAAAACCCAGGATAGCCAAAATCATTCTGTACAATAAAAGAACTTCTGGAGGCATCACAGTCCCTGACTTCAAACTCTACTACAGCCTGGGATTGGCATAAGAACAGACAGGAGGACCAATGGAACCAAATCAAAAGACCCAGATATCAACCCACATACCTACAAACACTTGATTTTTGACAAGGAAGCAAAAAATATAAAATGGAGAAAAGACATATTCAACAAATGATGCTGTATAACTGGATATGAATATGTAGAAGAATGAAAATAGATCCATATCTATCACCATGCACAAAACTCAAGTCCACATGGAACAAAGACCTCAACATAAAGCCAGCCACACTGAACTTCACAGAAGATAAAGCGAGAAGTACACTTGAACGCATTGGCACAGGAGACCACTTCCTAAATATAACTCCAGTGGCACAGACACCGAGAGGAACAATTAACAAATGGGACCTCCTGAAACTGAAAAGCTTCTTTAAAGCAAAGGACATGGTTAACAAGACAGAATGGCAACCTACAGAATGGGAAAAGATCTTCAGCAACCCCGCATCAGACAGAGGCTGATTCCAAAGTATACAAAGAACTCATGCAATTGGTCATCAAAAGAACAAATAATCCTATAAAAAAAATGGAGTACAGAGAACTCTCAACAGAGGAATCTAAATTGTTGAGCTTAAGGAAATGCTCAACAACCTTAGCCATCAGAGAAATGCAAATCAAAACAACTCTGAGATTCCATTTTACACCTGTAAGATTGGCCAAGATCAAAAACACTGATACAACTTATACTGGAGAGGATGTGGGATAAAGGGAACACTCCTGCATTGCTGGTGGGAGTGTAAACTGGTACAGCCCCTTTGGATATCAGTATGGCGATTTCTCAGAAATAACCTACCTCAAGACCCAGCAAAGGATGCTCAATCGTACCACAAGGACATTTGCTCAACTATGTTCATAGCAGCATTCTTTGACATAGCCAGAACCTGGAAACAACCTAAATGCCCCTCTACCAAAGAATGGATAAGGAAAATGTGGTACATTTACACAATGGAGTACTACACAGCAGAAAAAAATAACGACAGCTTGAAATTTGTGAACAAATGGATGGATCTAGAAAACATATTGAGTGAGGTAACCAGACCCAGACCCAGAAAGACAAATATCACATGTACTCACACATAAGTGGCTTTTAGACATAAAGCAAAGAAAAACCAGCTTACAATTCATAATCCCAGAGAACCTAGACAACAAAGAGGACCCTAAGACATACATGGATCTAATGTGCATGGGAAGTAGAAAAAGACAAGATCTCCTAAGTAAATTGGGAGCATGGGGACCATGGGAGAGGGTAGGAGGGGAGGGGAGAGGAAAGGAGTGCACTGGGAAAAAATAGACCTCAATAAAATCAAGGGAAAAAAAGAGGAACAATAAATAAATAAATAAATAAATAAATATTTAAAAGATCTTTGATATTAAAAACTTGAAAGCAGAAATAAAGTCAATGGAAAGGTTAGAGAAGAATGATGAACTCGCCTGGTTGAGAAAGGTAAAAATCAGAGGGGGGTGGTAAATTCACACAGCAGGAGCCTGTCTGCATCAAACAAGCTAAGGAATGAGGAGTGGGGTTCTCTTAGCTAGTCTGTCTCTGTGACCACACCCCTGACAGAAGCAAGTTAAGGGAGTGTTAGAAATAATCTTAAATCGAGCCTTTCCGCCAATGCAAATAATTCCAATCAGACCAGATTAGGCCGAATAAAAATTGCCCACGTAATAAACGCAGTGCTCCCAGTTGGCTGGGAGCATAGCGAGAGGTGGGGGGTGGACCACACAAAACCCAAAGACCAAGTGCTCCTTTTCTGGTCCTGACCCTCCCTGGGGAGGAGTTAGCACTTGGTGGGCTCTTCAGGAGGTGGAGTCCGGACTAAGGCAATTCAGGCCAGGGGGCTTGAGATGGAGCTTTCTGCTCCATTGGCACCCTAAGGATGAATGCCAGGGGCTGAGGTGACGCTTCCAATCATCCCAGATTCCTTGGATATAGGGGTGTCAGAGGGCTGGGGTCTCTCTTTCAATCAAACAGGGAGGAGGGCTTATTTTGGCTTTTGATTCATGGGATAACATTCATCATGGTAGGGGAAGGCAGAGGGACTAGAGCAACCCATGTTGGCAAAGCCAGACTATAGCCCTCAAGGCCTACTGCTACTCCCGTGCTCCACCCCCCAGGGATGGCTCGCTTGCTAAAGAGCTCACCTTGTAATCAATCACATTCCATTAGTTCCCAGGATGTAAAACGCCATACTCTCGTAAACACCACACTGCTGAGAACACGCATCCCGCCTGGAACTTGAAAACTCAAAACTCCCACAAATAAGCTTTATTTGCATGGCTGCATATATCTGATCAAATGGCAGATGTTTACAAAGGGTAAAGTTTATTAAATGGCAAAACCTGGAACTTCGAGGTCAGTCAGCTGCCGAGTCCTCATCAACAGCACAGACTGTTTAGTGCTCGCTCTTGTATTCACCTCAAGTCCAAGGGCAGCAGGTCCCATTTTCCTGGGACTGCAGGTCCATGTCCACCTTGTCTGAAGGTCAGAGAGTTTGGAGATGGACAAGCTTAGTTGCTTGTCCTAACTCAGGAGAGCTCGTTCTAGTAATTCTGGTGCCCTCCTGACAGGTGGTCAGGATATGCAAATGTACTTTTGCTCCTTCTTCTGTAACTATGAGGTCACCTAGGGAAGGGCACCTCTGTCACTTAGACAACAGAAGGCTAAAGATTTGACGTCTCAGAGAGATACAGCCATTGACTGTGAGTTATCTTTTTTATCATGTTACCCTCCCCCCTTTATGCTGGGTATAAAAGCCGTGGAAAAATAAACATGGGTGAATTTTAGGATTTTGATCATTGGAATGCCCTCCCAATACTTCCTGTGTTTTCTGTCTTATTATTTTTATGCATCTTCATATTCTTTACTTATATTTCTTCAATTCCCATGCTCTTACCCTGGTAGAAGTAATTTTATCAAGGCCGGTCCTCGATAGGAAACCTCTTACATTACTTTTTTTTTTTTTCTTCAGAGGGAGAAATGTTTTATTTTCTTTAAGAACAACAGAACTGGGGATTATATTTTTGGGTCACAAGGGCTTTCTCTTGTGTTCTAGGCCAGTTTTCTTTTCTGTCATTAATTAATAACTATAGATTTTAGACCAGAATGATTCTGATTTCTTTTTTTTAAATATTTATTTATTATGTATACAATAGTCTGTCTCCATGTATGTCTGCTCTACCTTTACCATTTTCTAGGGACTACTTTTCTTCCTCCTTGGGATATTGAGGGCTGAGGTGTTTCTCTCAACCCCACAGTCCCAGAATTATCACACTGTTCTGTGAATGAATACACTTGATCAGCACTCAGCCTTCAAGGCTCAGAAGATAAAATTAAAATTAAACACTGAAAGAAATCAGAATCAGGGGGTTAGAGAGATGGCTTAGTGGTTAAGAGCACTGCCTGCTCTTCCAAAGATTCTGAGTTCAATTCCCAGCAACCACATGGTGGCTCACAACCATCTGTAATGAGGTCTGGTGCCCTCTTCTGGCTTGCAGACATACATGGAGACAGACTCTTACATTACTTTTATTGCCAACAAAAGAGCAAGTCCTGTGTGTGTCTGTCTCATCAGCGGCAAAGCTCCGCCACTCACATCTCTTGTTTACATTGTGGCTGTTTCAAATGGTGTAAAAATGAGCTTAATATTTACTAAAAGAGCTTATAACACCTATAACAGTAACTTCATTTTAATTTTTTTATTAAGAAAAATTTTGTTATTTCTCCCCTAAATAAGCTAAGAAGAAATACCTGTAAAAATACCAAAAACGCATTTTAAAACCCCAAACTGATATGACACATTTTATATGATTTACAGCTAGGACTAAAATGTCCAGTTCTATGAGGGACTCTGTAGGAAACAGAAAGACTGTACACTTCAGGCTGCGGCTGTAGCTCAACAGTACAGTCCAAGCTTAGCATGTACAAAACGCTGGATTCAAGCCCTAGCATTAAAGGGAAGGCAGGGGAGAGTTGTATTCAATTCTAATTAAGTTTTGAAAAGCTGCATGTTTGCTGACAGGCACTACTGGTGAAATCAATCTGGAAGGCAGACATTTCTATGGCGGGACTGCCAGGGTTTTCCATACAACAGATTCAAGCCTTGCACCCAGATTTTTCTCCCTTATAGTTTAAACAAAAGCACAAATACACAAATGGTAAAAGATGCACGTAGCACAGAAAGACTAAAATAACAATATCCCTCCTAACACGGCAGATCTCATGTGTCCGAAACCCTTAAACAGTCAAACAGTCAAGCAGTTCACACGCCAAAACTGACCTTTGGTTTGCAAACATTCATGTCCATGGACTTGTGCAGATGGCCTTTTATCTCTGTCACAGAGAAATGCCACACAGTCTTCTACTTAGAAAGTTTAAAGGGCAATGTGTGCATGCTGTTCAACCCCCGCCGAGTCCAGGCAGCTCCTCAGACATCACTGGTCTAGCTGTGGCTCCAGATGTCCCAGGTGTTGACTCTGAAATTTAGGAATCACATTTATTAACACGGCTCCCCCTGCCCCCACCCCGAGACAAAGATTCTCTGTGTAACAGTCCTGGCTGTCCTGTAACTCATTTTTGTAGATCAGGCCAGCCTCAGATTCAGAGATCTGCCTGCCTGCCTCTGCCTTCTGAGTGCAGGATTAAAGGCGTGTGCCGTCATGCCTGGCTAACAGGGACTTTTTAAAAGAAAAATTTCCTTTAAAATTAGTGTTATGATTCTAGAGTGGTGGCGGGCACTTTCGGGTTCCAGGGCTACTCATGTGTGAACAAGCGCTCAGGCAAAATACTTAGCCACCCCGGAGACCTTAAAAGGCCCTGCATGGCCTACGTGCAGCATGGTTGCATCACCTACGTATGATGCAGCTACATAAGCCCTGGGCACCATGTGTGAGCTCCGTCATCTGTGTATAACGTAGCTACATCAACCCCCTGCAAGCATGCACTAGGCAGCCTTTAAGAGCTGGCCACGCCATCTTCAAGCTCTTTCTGCACACCGACGTCCCCAGGCCTGTTCACGTGTCTCTAATAAACTCAGGCCTGTTCACGTGTCTCTAATAAACTCTGTTATATGCTTAGTTCTCACTCACACCAGGTAATTTCAATTAGGGAATCTGAAGTGGGGGTGGAGCAGAGGCAAGGGGATCTCTGCATTTGAGGTCAGCCTGGCCTACATAGTGAGACATTGTCTCAAAAAAAAAAAAAAGACAAAAATTAAAAACAAAAAAATGAGGGAATCTATTCTGTGTAAACGGGAAGATGTACTGCCAGATATATGGAGCAGATCTCCCATCTTCCCTTCTTTGTGAAGAAGGCTCTCACTATGTAGTGCTGGCTGGCATCCTGCCTGGCACCTGAGAGGCTCATCCTCCTGCTTTGGCTTCCCAAGTGCTGGGGTTACACGCATGAATCACTACACTCAGCTTTTATTTTAACATTGTACAAAAAGACATGGGGCAAGGCCAGACCTGTACAGGGAACAAACAGGTAAGATGGCAAGAGCCTCAGGACGGATGACACTCTCCTTCAGTCTCCACTCCCAGCAACAAGTAGCACTGTCTGAGCAGGGAAGACTTACACACACAACACGCTGCCGGCTCAGCCGAGCCCTCCCTCGATGCCTCGGATCCTCCTGGCCAGCTGCACGTCCTTGGGGAAGAGGGTGACTCTGCGAGCGTGCAAGGTGAGGAGATAGGCGTCTTCGAAGAGGTGAACTAGAAACGCTTCTGCTGCCTGGGCACAAAGAGAAGACCACCATGGATGAAGGGCCCGGACTGTTTTCTCTTGGAGACATCCTGACTCAAAGGACTGAAGTAAAGAGCGGGGCGAACCCCATGGCCATCCATCACATCCCCTCCACACCATCACGTATTACATGTTGGCTGTTCTTTTCGGGAGGTCAGGAACAGTCTGGGGGTACCTCATATGCAGTCCTTTGGCATTCTGGGATACTCTTCCCCCTCTCAGCCTTCACCTACCCCTACTCCTTACCTCTTGAAGGGCCAACAAGGCGTGGGCCTGCCAACAGAAGTCCACACCGCGAGTGAATTTCTGGCAGATTTCTCTAACCTGTGGAGGGGTGTGGTGGGGTGGGGGTGAGCAGAGAGCAGAGGTGAGTGAGTGTTCAAAGAGTAGAGGGTCTTTCTCCAAGTATCTCTCCACATCCTCATTTCCTCCATTACCTGCTGCCTCTTAGGCATTACCTCCATTACCTCTTAGGGCCTGGCTAGGGGTGCCGACTTCTGGGAGCTTTAACTGGCAGAGTTTATGGGTGGAGAGGAGAAAGGGCAATCTCCAGGGCAGGGAGGGAAACTGGAGGGGAGGGCTCTACCACAGACAGAGGGGATGAGGAGAAAACAGCCTCAGAAATACAGAGGATGTGCGGTGTTCAAAGGTTCGAGGTGACGTTCAGCCACAAACCCAAGAGACTGAAAGGAAAGGTGGCCCAGAGCAGAGTGAAGGTCTCCAGAACTCACAACTCTGGCAAAAGGTTGTCTCCTCAGCAGGAGTTCTGTGCTCTTCTGCAGTTTCTGCACTTCCTTCAGCCATAGAAATTTCCGCCTTCGGCGTAGACCTGAGCAGAAGAGGTAGGTCGTAAGGAAGGTGCAGCGGAAATAACTGGTCCATTGCTGTGCAGCTGAGACCACAGATGTTTCCACAGGCCTCTACCCCAGAGCAGGGAATTCACTCACTCCCAGCTGTTGGAGTCAGCAACAATGGCAGACAGGTGCTTAAGACAGGCTTGTTAGGCAAGCGCAGTCTGAGCCTTTCTTTGGGTTGGGTATTAACTCCCGTGAAGCCCTCTGAAACCCCAGTCACTTCCCAACAGCTCCTTCCTGCCGGGGCCCCGCAGTACTCCACGCATCTATCTTTCCCATTCCCACCTAGATTGAAAAGCTCGTTATTTCAATTTTTAGGCATTTTTCTTCCTTTTTAACAGCTGGAAGGAATTAGATACTACCTAATATCCCTTGTCTTGATTACTCTGGAGCCCAGGGAAGTAGTGATAGTTGGCCAGTGCTCATTAGAGGTTGTGTTGGAACTTTGGAAGTGGCATAATTCAGGGCTAGTGCTGGGAATGTGGGCTGTGAAGTCACAGCCTTTGGTAAAAATTCGAATTTTCCCTAGAAAATAAAAACACACACACAAAAAATCTGTTCTAGAGATGCAGCTCTGCAGTAACGTGCTTGATTAGCATGCACGAAGCCATGGGTTCGATCCCTTGATTAGCATGCATGAAGCCATGGGTTCAATTCCTCGCGACAGACAAAGAAAGACCATACCTCTAACTCTAATGTCGGAGAAGAAACTTAACTGATATTAGACTATTTAAAATGGTTAATATAAACATTTACTTTTAAAAACCTGAAAGATACCCTAAAAACAGCGCCAGAAGCAAATGAAATATATCTAGTAGAAAACAAGACCGCCAGATGAGTTAAGGTCCAGAGTGTGTACCATTCTTATAGAAGAACCAAGTTTGGTTCCTGGCACTCACGTCAGGTCACGTGGCTCACACTGCCTACAACTTTAGGTCTAGGGGAACTAATGACTGGTGTCCTTGGGCACCTGTACTAAGGTGCAACACATAATTAGAAATAAAAAGTGGGGCTGGAGACATGGCTCATTGGCTGAGAGTATTTGTTGTTCTTGCAGAGGACCTAGGTTTGGTGCCCAGTACCCATATGGTGGCTCACAACCATCTAACTCCAATTCCAGTGAATCCAATGCCCTGGCACCTGCATCTGACCTCTGTGGAGGTAAACAATGTTGTAGTTGAATAAAAATGGCCCTCACAGGCATATAGGGAGCGGCACTACTAGGAGGTATTATGACTTTGTTGGAGGAGGTACGTCACTGGGTGGGCTTTGGGGTCTCAGAAGCTCTAGCCTGGCAGATGTGTCGCTGTCATTTCCTGCTGCCTTTGGATCCAGATGTAGAACTCTCAGCACCTTCTCCAGCACCACGGCTGCCTGACGCTCCCCGCCCAGATGACAACAGACAATATCTCTGAACTGTAAGTCAGCCCCAGTGAAATGTTTCCCTGTATATGAGTTGCTGTGGTCATGGTGTTTCTTCACAGTTATAAAATTCTAATTAAAACAAATAAAAACCACAAAAATCTTGGTGGGTGTTTTGCCTGTGTGCATGTCTGTGTCTCATGTACATGCCTGGTGCCTGCAGACGTCCGGAGTCAGATCCCCTGCTGTGTTACAGATGATTGTTAGCCACTACGTGGGTATCGGGCATCAAACCCTGGAAGAGAGTCAGTGCTCTCAACTGCTTAGCCTTCTCTCTAGGCCCCCAAAATAAAAATAAATCTTGAAAAAATAGATAACTGAGTTAAATTCAACTGAAGTGTTAGCTATTAAGATAAACAAGACAAATTAAATATATTAAATTAGTGAAAATGAGAAATTAAATAAGTAAATAGTATACCTGCTCAATAATTATAAACAATGACTGATAAAAATGAATAAGCCTGATTAGTTGAACAGCTTGGCTAAAACAATTAACAAGACAAAGCACACACACACACACACACACACACACACACACGGGTACTGGCTGGAGGTGCCCCTCAGAGCACCCACCTTGCACATACAAAGCCTCTGGTTCTATCCCTGGTACTGCAAAATAGAAACACTGAAAAGGACAGCATTTAAGGATAAAATTAGCTTCAAAGAAACAGTTATTTAAGGTCCAGCCAATAAAGAATACTATCCAGAGCAGTGAGAACACTGCAAGGGCCATGGAAGAAGGGAGACAAGCAAATGGCCTGTTGCTAGGTGACAGGCAGAGAAGACTTAATTGTGGCTGAGGTTAGGATCATGAAGACAAAGAGAGAAGATCCTGTTCTACTCTGGTTTCTGTTGCTGTGATAAACACCACAACCAACAACGTGGGGAGGGAGGGGTTATTTGGCTCACATGCTATAGTCCATCCTCCAGAGAGGCCAGGGCAGGATTCCAGGCAGGAATCTGGAGGCAGGAACCATGGAGGAGCGCTACATACTGACCTGCTTTCCTAGCCCAAGCTCATTGCCCAGGGGTGGGCGGCACCACCCACAGTGGACTGGGTTCTCCCACACCAATTAAGAACATGCTTCACAGACGTGGCCATAGGCCAGTCTGATAGAAGTCCCCTCTTCCTGGGTGACAGGTTTATGTCACGCTGACAGCTGAAGCTAACAATAACAGACCACAGCAAGGGCTACATAGTGAGACCTTATTCTCTCTCGAAAAAGAAAGATTTTGAGAAAGTCAAGGGGAGTAAGAGAGTTGTAAGATTCACGATGAAAGTACAACTGGTTATAAAAGGAACTGGTCAGAGGCGCCATGGAAAAGTGCGGGAACCAAAAGCACTGAAGACGGGGTTCCACGAGCCAACGCGTTGTTGGGAGCCAGAGAAGAATTTCGAGCAGGGGTTAGTCCTTCTAGCCAGGCCCATAGGTCCAATTCCAACTCCAGGGCGGGCAGAGACAGGGCATCTTCTTCCCCTCAGGATTTAGTACATGGAAGGCAATGTCACACCAAAAATTTTATTCTACGTATATGGGTCTTTGCCTACATGTATGTCTGTGTGTGCAGGGCCTGCAGACACCAGAAGGCATGGGATACCCTGGAAATGGAGTTAAAGATGGTTGTGAGCCTCTATGTGGGTCCTGGGAGCCGAGCTGAAGTTCTCTGGAATATCAGCCAGTGCTCTTAACCTCTGAACCATCTCTTCAGCCCCTTCTTCGCCAAAGTGCTTTTTTTTTAATTGAAAAATAACATTCCAACCAGGCGGTGGTGGTGCACACCTTTAATCCCAGCACTAGGGAGGCAGAGACAGGTGGATCTCTGTGAGTTCCAAGGCCTGGTCTACAGAGTGAGTTCCAGGAGTTCCAGGACAGGCTTTAAAGCTACAGAGAAACCCTGTCTTGAAAAACCAAACAAACAAAGGAAAAATAACATTCCAGCTGCCATGTAAGACAAGAACTGGAATGGGTTAAGAGTAGAGATAGAGGGGCTGGAGAAATGGCTCAGTCGATAAGATCACTGGTTCAATTTCTAGCACCCACATGACAGTTCACAACTGTCTGTAACTCCTGTTCCAGAGGATCCAATGTGATGTGTTCCCAGCACCCTTACAGGGCAACTCATAGCTGCCTGTGATTTCGGGGGTTTCCGAGCCTTCTTCTGGCCGTCGCCAGCACCCTCAGACATGGAGCACATACTTAGACACATACACACATACAGATGGTTGTGAGCCACCATGTGGTTGCTGGGAATTGAACTCCGGACCTTTGGAAGAGCAGGCAATGCTCTTAACCGCTGAGCCATCTTTCCAGCCCACATACACACATACATAAAAATTAAAATAAATACTTTAAAAAAAAAACCCACAGAGATCCGTGTCCGTCAGAATGAGCAGTGTCTTTGCTCAAGCTACCTGTCCTGTCTGCGCCTGGCTTTTCTCATTGACTGGAAAACCGCCAAGAAACAAACTAGTTAATGTGGTTAGCGACAAGCGGTAACCAGAGGCAGCGCCGGTCCGTAGCTTCCGCAGGGCGCGCGCGGGACCGGTCTCGGAGGTTCAGGCAGACACGCTTACCTTGACGGATGCTGCTCGGTCGCGAGGGTCCGGGGACCGGGCTGGAGGGCCGTCTCGTCGGGGTCCTCGACGGGCGGCGCGGGCTCGGGTCTGGCTGCCAGGGTCCGGGGACCGGGCTGGAGGGTCGTCTCGTCGGGGTTCTCGACGGGCGGCGCGGGCTCGGGCTTGGCCGCGAGGGTCCGGGCACCGGGCTGGGGGGCCGTCTCCTCGGGACCTTCGCCTTGCGACGTGGGTCCATGGTTGGCAGGAGGGTCCAAGCTCCGCCGCCTCCGCTAAGCCTTCCGAGTCCTGCTGCCGAAGCCGGACGAAAGAGCGAGACGACCGTGCACAGTGCGCATCACCGACAACTGAGCTCCGCCGCCATCAGTTCAAAATTCACCCGCCCCGCCCATCGCATTTTAAAATACCAACTCCGTGACTCTCAGTGGCTGACTCTGGAAAGCCACCGTGGAGCGACAGTCGGAAGGACCAGTGATAATGAAGGACTGGCCGCAGGTCAGCCAATGAGAACCTGGAAAAGTGAAGGAAGGCGGGGCTTTCTCTCCGCTTTTGCTCTTTGGCTCTGGTGCCCTCTGGGCAAAAGGATATCTCAGTTCTGTTGTGGGTGGTGAATTTGTAAAATTCATTCCCTCAAACGTTCTTTGCGTTCGTTCATATCAACGTTGGTGTGCCTTTGAAGATGGGGAAACAGATCACCCAAGAATGTGACAACTCCATACAGCTCCCGTGACCTTACAATATGAGATCAACCAGCCTCGGAACATTTCTAGGTTTGTGGGGACAGCCAGGATGATGGGATGTGAGGACAAGGTCCAGGCAGGGCAGGCGCTAGCACTCTTCTTGGATCGTGCTTATCGAACACCATGACGATATTGTCCGAGAAAAACTGGCTTTTTCCTTTCTCCTCGGAGTGATATGAATTCGGGTCATGTCTCCGTAATTAGAATAAAGAGAATTTCAATTTCGTCATTTTGCTTTTTTGAGACTTCTAAATGTTCTACCATGAACGTGTACTCTAATCAAGAAAATCCTTATATAATCAGTGATTTCACAGAAGCCTTCTGCAACGTTGAGGTGGGTGGTGTAAAACGGTGCAGCTGCTATGGAAATGTGTCACGGTTCGAATCTGAAACGTCCTACAAAAGCTTGGTCCTGCGTGCAGCAGTGTTTAGGGGTGGGGACTTTGGGAGATGATTGGTCGTAGGTGCTCTGACTTCCTGTGTGGATTTAATCCTAGCACTTGGGAGGTAGAGGGAAGAGGTTTGCTGTGAGTTCAGGAACAGCCTAGCCTAGTGGGTTGGAGGCTAGTCTCAGACAAATAAACAAACAAACCAATCATGACATAGCTCAACGGCAAAGCACTCACCTCATACACAAGGTTCTGTGTTCAATCTCAGTATACTACCCACTGATAAATCTCTCCGCAGACGCAATAATCCAAATCAGACCAAATCAAACCAAATTAGAGAAAGCCCAGGTTTAAGGGATGGCCTTCCAGCTGATCAGAGAGGGGGTGGGGGGAGGAAGACGGGAAAGCCACGTGTTTGTTCTCTGGGGTACAATTAAAATACCCTGTGGGAGTGGTCTTGAGCATCTCTGGGGAGGGGTCCTTTGGTGGGTTTTCTCGGAGGTGGAGTCTGGACCGAGGCAACTCCCAGGGAGTTACTGTTTAGTCAGGGCAGAGTTTCCAACTGGGAAGTGAAAACAGTTCTAGCGACTGATGGTGGCTGTGGTTGTGTACCATGGATGCTCTTAAGGTCATCAAAATTTTATATTTGCCACAGCCAGGCAGTGGTGGTGCACACCTTTAATTCCAGCACTTGAGAGGCAGAGGCAGGCAGATATCTGTGAGTTCAAAGCCAGCTCTGATCTACAGAGCGAATGCCAGGACAGGCTCCAAAGCTACAGAGAAACCCTGTCTCTAAAAAAAAGTTATATTTACTACGGGGGGGGGGGGGGAGGTCTTGCTAAGTCCTTTAAGGTATAGTCAAATCACAGAAGGATACTCCCCCGTCCCCAGTTATCCAGGTCTCAGCATGGACGGAAGAAATCCAGATCAACTGTTAATTAGACAGAGGGAATCTCCACTTACGAGCTCTGCTTTAGACACACAGCCCTCTATTAAACTGGAAGTAGAAAGTTAGATGGAAGACAGAATCTCGTTTTTATAAGAACCTGATGAAACTGACTACTACTGAAGCAGAAGATATGGGTAGAAGAGGGAGGGGTGTTTATTAATGTACACATTTTTTACATATTTTGATTTTTGAACCAATTGAACTATTGATTTTTTTTTGTTGTTGTTAAATAAACTAAATGGAAACCAAGTGGGCTGAAGATGTCAAGGTGACCACTCACCATCTTTGAGCTCTAGATGAATTGAATGGTACAAGGAGGAGTAAATTATAGCTCATAGGAGCCCTCCGAACTAATGTGGAGTTCAGCATAGGTGAGAGAAAGGGGGAGACATTAGTTGGTTGTGACATCTCTGAGACAGATGCCTTCAGCCAAAGCTGACATCACATAGGAACAAGACGCTGAGTCGGGATTTGAACCCCAGACCTAGCGGTGGCGTCTACCTTCTGTCACCACACACTGCTTCTTGTGGTGGTTTTACTTTCTTTTTACTGAAGAGAGAACCAGGTGCAATTCACACATCTGAAGTTCCAGGCTGCTCTAGAGTCTGAGACAAGAAGACCATTCAGGCCCAGGGATTGTGGCCTGTAATGTGCTTTGCTGTTTTGGCATCACTGTGGTGACCCGGGAGCTGGGAACAACCACGTTGCTCATGCTAACTGGAAAAGACACACTCGGGCTTTCACAGTGCAGTGAGAAGCTAGAAGGGAGTGAAGGAGGAGGGTAACGGCAGTGGCAGGCTATGTGACTGAGGCGTCACCACACCGACTCCAGGAGGTCTGGCTTGAAAAATATCAATTGTAATAGGCACGGTGGTTATGACCCATCAGCCCATCTACTTGAGAGGCCGAGGAAGACCTCAGTTCAAGGACTGTCTGGACTACAGGGCCCAAAGCCAGTCTGGACAACTGAGGAAGACTCAAAATCAAAAGTAAAAACAGGACTGGGGCTATAGATCATTGGTAGAGGGCTTGCCTAGCAAGCATGAGGTCCTGTGTTCAATTTCCAACACACACACACACACACACACACACACACACACACACACACACACACACAACTTCTGGGCCACTTTCATGATCAGAATACACAGTCCCTACCTTGACTGTAGGGAGCTTAAGGGCATTGCTTCAGTATGGACTTTATATAAGCTTTTTATATAAGCTTGGATTTCCTAGTTTCCTGTTCGCTAGCTTCGTGACTTTGGAGATTCACTTGCCTGCTGTAAACGATAGTTTCCATCTTGCACAGCACAAGTAGGGACCCTTGTCCCAACATGGGGAGAACGAACTGACTAGGAAGCTGGATTTCCTCCTTTCTGTTTAGGGCTATGGCTTTCTGTTTTGGTCATGGGCCCCATGTACCCTGTTCTAGCACTGCAGGTATAATAAGCTGGGAACAGTGTTTCCTTGAAGTTGTCTTGTGGCTTCTACATGCATATGCACACACGTGTACACACACCTTCTACACATGCACTTAAACACGCACACAGATTCACATGCATTTAAGAAGTAGATGAGGGTCACTAGAGTTGATTCTGCCCATGTGGCTCAAATGTTCCCAAAGTGGGAGTTACCCTTGGGACAGCCATGCCCCTCTGCCTCCTGCAGCAGGGTGTGGAGGCATGCTGTGCTCTGGTCTTCGGTCCTTTCCATCACAGACAGCCACTGCTTCCTCCTCCACCACTTCTGGAAGAAAGCCACGTTAAACCTGACCGCTACACACCTCCCTCTTTGCTACTGGGCTGAAGGGGACATTTGCTTTGGATCCTGGGGGAGCACCGTAGAAATGGTTTGGCAGCACCGAGAGGAAAGCCCTGAGGAGGCAGGTAGCCTATGCTGCAGCTCCTTGCGGTGGTGCTTATGTAGAGGAGCGGTGGTGGAGCGTCCTGATGAACCTGAACCTGTAAATGAACTCTTAGCTCCTCGGATGCCCAAGAGGCAGACCAACCTCATGAGCTTCCCCAGACTTGTGGCAGCCTTTCTCAAGCCCTTCATGGGTGCACCTGTGGGAGCAAGGGGCACATCAAACGACAAAAGGTCATGTGTCCTGACTTCTGGGTGATCGGATTTATCTTGTGGCAAATAACCTAGTTATGGCATTATGTAAATCATAAACAGCAGCAGTGCAGAACGGAGCCCAATGCTGTCTTCACTCTCACTCGTGAATTAAGACAGGATTTCAGAAGGGAAGTATGGACTGTGAGGCCACTGCTGCCAGACCCGGGTCTCCACTTTTCTAAGATCAGGAGAGCCACAGCAGCACTGCTCCAGAATTCAGGTTCCCCAGGCCTAAAAAAGCGTTCAGTGTTCAAGCCGGCAGTGGTGGCACACGCCTTTAATCCCAGCACTCAGGAGACAGAGGCAGGCAGATTGAGTTCGAGGCCAGCCTGGTCTAAAGAATGAGCTCCAGGACACCCAGGGCTACACAGAGAAACCTTGTCTCACTATCCCCCCAAAAAGTGTTCAAGAAGGGCAACCCAATTTTCTAAGACTCAAGTCTCCTGCTGATGGGTTTTAAGAGGATGTCAGCAAGTGGGCATGGCAGCTCATGCCTGCTTAGCACAAGTGGGGCAGCCCATGGAAGGTGAGATTCTGGCTACCAACTCTGGTCTGTCCATCTGTAGTAGACGGGATGGGCAACGAACCAGAGCGTCTGGCATTGTCTGTAACAGACTGTGCCCTCGGGGAAGTCCTTTCCATGCTGGGCATTAGTGTCTTTCAGGATTTTTACAATTGTTATTACGTATGTATGATATGTATGTGAGCGTGGTTGCATGTGTGCTACAGCATGTGGAGGTCAGAGGGGTCAACATTTAGGAATTAGTTTGCTCCTTCTGCTGAGGGTTCTGGGATTGATCAGGTCACCAGGCTTGTGAGGCAAGTGTTACCTGCTGAGCCCCGGCCTTGGGCTCTGCAGTCTTCCTTGGAAGGAATAAATGATGCCTGTGCTTCTGACACATTCTAGATGCGACTCCTGGGCCTCTCTTACACCTTCTCTATTTCATTAAAAAAGTTCAATATCGACAATTTTCCATTTCTTTAAAAAAAAAAATAAACGCAAAAACAACATCCCCCAATTGGCTATGGGTGGGGCGCCAGTTTTGATTTTGTACAGACAGCTCCCACACTGTCTCTGCCACCTTGAGTAAGTGGGCACAGAATCCTCATCTACGTCTCCCTGGGTCACACACTGTAATCCAGATAAGTGTGGGGCCCCGGGACTCAGGGCCGATGGAAAGGAGTTTCTTCCTCAACACACCATGAGAATCTGTGGGAATCAACGGTAAACCGAGGACCTTGCTCGTCAAGGCCTCTTCTCTTTGCAGTCTAAGAAAGGTGTTAGGGTTTTGTTTATTATTGAACTCAACCATTCCAGGAGCAACACTGGGGTTGAGGGCTGCCAGGGCCCTGGGCCTGCTGTTTTTCTTCTATCCAGGGTGGGAGTACCTGCAGGGTACAGTATGTTAGGCACTTAGCCCGGCCACAGAAACCCACCCCAAAGACCCAGAGACCCACATGGTAGTGGGCCACAGGTTTCAAATCAGACAAACCTGGCTGGCTGGGACGCTGGCTCTATGTGTTTATCACTTAGCCTTCTGGGAGTGCCATAGATTTTCCTTCTGTACCTGCCTCTGCAGATATCATGAAAGGGAGTGAGGTTTGAGCATTGAACCGAACGCTGGGAATGCCAAATTACTCCATGGGGAAGAATTCTGTGGGTAGTCTGTCATTCTGATGGGCACGCTGGGTCCAGATTGCTGAGAGTCACAGTGGCTCTAGGTCAGGGTTCTCCCAGGTCTTTGGCCCAAGCTGACAGCCAGAGACAGATCTCTCTTGCTGAACAAGTTACAACTCTGGGCTTCAGTCTCCTTACGTTAAAATGGAAACTGCCGGGTGAGGTGGCACATTCTTGTCATTTTAGCACTTGGGAGGCTGAGGCAGGACTGAGTTTGAAGCCAGCTTGGAGCTACAGAGGAAGTTGAATGCTGCTGCTACACAGACCTTGCTTCAAACAACACAAAATGGGTTCATGAAGTGATTTCCCCAGGCTGCCTGGAATCTCCCTGTAGTCTTTCCCAAGCAGAGAGGCCTTGAGTTATGAAGAACAGAACATCAAAACGTCGACGAGGTACTGGGCATGATGGTGCACACCTTTAATTCCAGCACTGAGGAAGCAGAGACAGGTGGATCTCTGTAAGTTTGAGGCCAGCCTGGTCTACATCATGAGTTCCAGGCCAGCCTGGTCTACATCATGAGTTTCAGGACAGTCAGGGCTGCAAAGTGGGGGAAAAAAAAAAAACCACCATGGGAGAAGGGGGGGTACCACTCCTCTTTTCTAATGCTAGTGACAATCAGAGGCCTGCAGAATGCTGGGGCCATAAGGCACAAAAGCCACATCATGTGCCCCAGAGTGGACAGACCTGGTGCACCCATTGAGTCCGCAGCCAAGTCTGAGCCAGAACCTAGGTCTTCAGACAGGCTTAAGGAGTATCTTATAAGTTTGGAGAATACATCTCTTAGTTTTGATTTGAACCTGCTCACTGGATCCTCTGTAGCTTATGATTCATAAGCTAGGCAACCTACCGTAACAAGTTAGTGTCTAACACGGAAATACAAGGGTTGTAAAGTCCTGCCATGCAAGTTCACATTTTGGCTCCAGCGCAGCGGAAAGAACTGGAGGGCTGAGAGTGGCTGCCAGAGCCAGGCCTGTGGGGGCTGGGTCCCAACATTCCAGGCTTCAGAAGTAAAAGAGGACCTGGTGTTCTGCCATCCTCTCTGGCAGCAGCTGCCAGAAGGGGTCAGTAGGGAGGGGTGGGGCCAGGCCTTGGGGACAAGGCACTTACAGCCCACCAGGCTGTATGGCTTCAGCCATCTGGGGGGGCAGCAAAGACCCCTACCAGGGGCTCAGCTGGCGTCATTGATAGGAGTCCGGTTGTCACCCAGCAGTCTCTCTTGTTCACCCTCTTGGGTGGGGCGATGGCAGCTCCTGGACAGGCAGGCTAGCAGTGGATGGTGCAGCCCATTGTAGAGGGCAGTGCCCATGAGGAGGATGAGGAAACCAAGGATCTGCAGTGGGTGGAAGACCTCCCAGCCCAGTGCCAGACTCAAGGCCCAGATGACCACGGTGCGCAGGCTGTCTAGCACCATGCGAGTGGTGGCACTCAGTTCCTTGGTGACACTGATACCCGCGAAGTTGAAGAAGGCGATGCTGCTGATGTTGCCCAGCAGGGCCAGGGCAATCAGGGGCTGTCGGCCCACCTGGCAGAAGGCATCCAGCGCGTCCTCCAGCATCCCGCGAGGGTTTCCGCTAAAGGAGCCCGCTGGGATGTAGTACATGGGCACGAGGAGTAGTGAGAGGATCACAAAGCCAAAGAAACCTGGGGAAGCAAGGGAGGGTCTCACATTCTCCACCCTGCCTGGGGCTTCCTAGCGCGGCCCCCAGGTAGGCAGTATCTCATCTCAGAACCACTGTGTTTGTTCCATTCCTGTGATCCACTCCTGGAACCTGTCCCTCTGCCTTGATGTCAGACCTACATTGACAACTCACTGGTTTCCAAACTCAAAAGTAGCAACTCAAGCCATTGCCCTGTCAGGAATCCTCTTCCCTCATCTTGCTGTTGGAAGCTGTGGCTCCAAGCTCATCTTTCCTACCTCAAGAGACTCAGAACTGCTCGGGAAATGAGGTACCTGAGTTTAACTCGTCTAAGTTCAAGTGCACTGTCTGGCTCCTCCCTTGCTGTCACCGCCTCTAGAGAGGGGCGTGTATCTTGCTTATTTTCCTTCTCTGTCTCCTCTCATCTTGCCCATGCCCCTCTGGGGATGGAGACTCACACTAGCCCCTGCCCCAAGCTCCATTTTCTTTCTTTCTTTCTTTCTTTCTTTTTTTTTTTTTTTTTGAGTTTTCGAGACAAGGTTTCTCTGTAGCTTTGGTGCCCCTCCTGGAACTAGCTTCAGGCTGGCCTCGAACTCCCAGAGATCCGCCTGCCTCTGCCTCCCGAGTGCTGGGATTAAAGGCGTGCGCCACCACCGCCCGGCCCCAAGCTCCATTTTCATGCATGTCATAACACACACTGCCCCAGCATACCCTCCCACCAGCTATTGCTCCCAGGCCTGTGCCCACATGCACCTTCAATGCCCACTGCCCTGAGTGGGTGGACGTTGTGTTTGTAGACAAACTTCTCCTCCAGCACCATCTGGATGGCAACGATGATCTGGGCCATGATGATCAACAAGTCACCTGAGGAAAAGAGGATCGAGTGAAGCGGGCACCATAGAACTAGAGATGGGGGTGGTGACAGGATGATTTAGGGACAGAACAGCAGGTCAGCTTCTGAATTTTCAGGGTTGAATATGGGTCCTGACTTCCTGGCCCAAGGGCAGGACAGCAGGCAGGCCTGGGCTTTCAGGAGGCCCAGAGACACAGAGACATGCCTTGGCCTGAGAATTGGACAAGCAACAGTCTTGAGACAAGATACGTCAAGTTTAATTGTGAAACTGAGTGGCTCAGGAGGTCAGTTCGTTGTAAAGTGTACTGCAGTGGATCTTGCCAGGGTCTGGGGTCCTGTGATGACAAACGCACCAGCATCTGTCAGTAACTGGTCCTTTTGTCCCTCTCCAAACCAGCAGTTTGCCTGTGGATATGAGCCACAGGAGCAGACAGCTCGGTCATGCTGCCTGTCTGTCTCTTCCTTGGAATGGTCACAGTCTTCTGGTCTCCCCCACACTCTACCCACCATGTACCCATCAGTTACATGACCCAACCCCAGGACACACAGATGGCAGAGCCTGGATGAGTCTGTGGGATGACTTTTTAGGCTTCCAGAGAGGAGGGGCCAGGGGAACCAGCTGGCCTCACCTGTGATGACTTCGCTGAGCTTGTGTTGACTGTCATGCTTGCTCAGGAGGTCAGCGAGGCCAACTACCACCAGTCCTGCAATGGTGGCCAGGATGCCCACCCACTGGCTTGGGGCCAGCCTCCGGCCCAGGAAGGCCACTGAGAACAGGCCTGTGAAGATGATCACTGCACCCCGCAGCATCTGGAAGCTGGAGGCACTGGTCATGTTCAGGGCTAGCAAAGGAAAGACATGATTAATGGCTGTTAACGGCAAAGGCTGGCTGCCACCAAAGTGTCGTCAGGGAGTAGGGACAAGATGAGCTTGCTCACTAAGCCTTAGATGTGCACATGTGAAGACTGCGGGGGAGTGGCAGGGTGGGGTGGGGTGCTGATTCACTAGCGGCCAGGGGACTTACCCACATACATGAGGCTGGTTCCAGTCATGTCACACAGGGCTGGGGGCAGGAAAAGTAGGGCACTGAAGGACTGCTGGGGCTCTATGCTGGAGTCAGACTGTCTTGCGGCTCTGCACTGGAGCAGGTAGAAGGCAGCAAGGCACGAAAACTCTCCCAGGAACATGCCCACTGCCTGCAGGAACAAGACTTGAGGACTCAGTACAGAAGGGGCTTCGGGGCCACCCTTATCAGTACCGTTAGTTTTAATATAACCACATTTCAGGCAAGAGCTTATCTAGAATCCCCAAATATCAAACAGACAAAGTCAGAGTAGCTGTGGGTAGCCAGCCAGGCCCCTAGGCCTGTCACAGGGGTCCCAGAATATCTCAGTGGATACCCTATGGGGTGTGGCATGGTATAAACTCAATCCTTCAGGTCAGCCTTTCCAACCAGACTTAGACAGGTTCAAAGACTCACAGAAGGCCCAATAGCCAGCTGCTAACACACCGGGGATAAATCTGAGCCTTCTAACTCTCGGTACAGAAGTGGGGCATCTTCCATGTCCCCACCCCGGTGGCGTTCCGGGCTCAAAAGAGATGTACCAAACACCTTTGTCACTGGAGCTAGTGTTTTCCATGTGTCCCGATGGGACGTGGTGAGAACATGACCATCATAAGGATCATGCGCACCTCCCACGGAGAACTATGCCCCTTCCTGGGTACTCTTGGACTCTGGCCCTATTCTGGGAGAGGAGAGAGCTAGATGGCTTTTGGGGGACCAGGGAGCTTCATCCCTAGACCAGGAAAGAAACCAGCCACAGGGATGTCTGGATGAAGCCTGGAGATGGGCAGGAGGTTATGCTGGTACCTGGAGGAAGGGATGCTGGAAGCTGTGCTCCTTGCTTCCTCCACAGCCTTCAGCTTTGAAGTTGTCAGCCCACCTGCAGCAGAGAGACGGGAGGTCAGAATGGTGATGCGGCGGATTCTCCACCTGGCTGGACTCACACTCAGTCCCAACTGATGCTCCTTTTCAAAGGAGCCCGTTGCTATGGTGAGGGGTTTTAAGACAGCATTTCATCATCTTACAAACATAGAATCCTATTACTTGTGTTTCTGCAACTTGTAGAAATCAGATATTAATATTATATTATTGATGTTTATATGAAGTGCATCACACCCATTACTCCTCAAAATAAAATTAAAGCCACTGCTTGAAATTTAGTGTATTAAACATATACACTGTAAAAAAAAGAGGTGACTTTTTTTTTTTTTCCTGAGACAAGGCCTCACTATACAATCCGGGCTTGAATTTGAAATCCTCCTGCCCCAGGTTCCTGAATGCTAAGATTATAGACACGAGCCAACTCTGGCAGCAAATTTGCTCTCTAACACTTGATGACTCTACTTCAACTTGTTTGGCTTCTTTTGAAATCTTTGATCTCTACCATTCAATCAAAGGAATCAGTACATGAAAAGTATCAAGAGTCTCTGGTCATCTGGACATGGGACCACCATCTGTAAGCATAGCACTAAAGTAGCTAAGCCAAGTGAACTGATGTGAGTTCAAGGCCAGCCTGAGACACACAGTGAGTTTGAAGTTAGCTTGGGCTATGTGTAGAGGCCTACCACCAATCAACCAACCAACCAACCTACCAACCAACCAACCAACCAACCAACCAACCAACCAACCTTCCTACCTATCTACCAATCAACCCACCTACCTACCAACCAATCAACCACCTAACCAACCAACCACCTAACCAACCAGTCAACCAAGCCTCTTATCTCAAGGGGCATTCAGGCCCAGGAGATGATCACTTGATCCTTCACAGCCCAGAAAGCCCTTTTAATGCTTACCTAAAGCATGTGGCACCTGCCAGTGAGTACGAATGCCAGTGAGTACCACCACAGATAGAGATCACAGGTGGAAACGGTCCCCATCCAGCCCAGAACCCTTCCCAGAATACTCCAGGCAACTACACTCATAATTCTGAATTGTTGCTACCTAAGCCCAAAAGAGCTCCTTTTGACTTTCCGTCCTGCTGGGCTGCTACATCTCCAGACATCCATTTTCTAACTGGAGATCTCTTTGCCACCTGGAACTACTATGATCTTGTGAATCTTCTTTTCTGGATAACCATCCCAGTCCTTCCTAGTCTTCCACCATCCTGGCTGTTGACTTCTGCAAGTGTTCCTATGGACCCTGGCTAGTGGCATGGGACATAGCTAGTTCCAGCCTCAGCTCCTCAGAAGCTAAAAAGCCCTCACTACATAACAGAGCTTCTCTCATTTCTGAGGCCTGAGTGGGGGTCTCAGACCAGCTGCACCCCTCATCCAGGCAGGCCTGTTTGGAATTCATGCTTGCTCTGGCTGAAAGAGCCTCTATGAAGGCCTAGGGGAGGTAACCGAGCGAGAGGAAAAGCTGAGTGAAGGGCTCAGGCTTTACTGAGGACACAAAGCCACTGACCCAGTAAGGGAGTAAGTCAGGGCTCCTCTCAGAGGTAGAAGGGAAGTGATGTCAAGCCTATGACAGCCAACTACAGTCAATGCTGGTGCTTTCTGTGGTGGTGGGGTCAGTGGTTGTTACAGAAGTCATTACTCCTAATGCTATTCCTTTAGATCACAGCTGACACCCAAGACCCTCTAGGTCTGGACACAGCAGCATGGCCATTACCCAGCGCGACTGCTCGTGCTCAGAGTCTTCACATCTAATGCCCATCCTGATCCCACACTCACTGAGTTTGGTCTGTGAGTTTAGCATGGGTGTTCCAACTCTCCACCCGTGGCTCCCTACACATCACTGCACAGCCCACGCGGTTCGGTTGAGTGACTGAGCCTTCTAGACTCTTGCTTGGGAGTGTATAGGTGCTCTGGACCCTGGCCCAGTGTCCATGAGATTGGCTTCCCGTGGGTCTGAGGTGGCCCCTGCTGGTGTGACAGGCACAGTATGGGTCGGTCTTCTAGGGAGTTAGCTGGCTGGCTGCCCAGTTGAGCCTTTCTCCTTAAGACTTGTCTAGACTTTCTCTATAAAGTAGGGCCTGGTTTGTCTGGACAGGCATTGCTGGCTAGCTTCCCACTGGAGAAATGGAATCTCTTTGTATCTAAGAGCCTATCCAACCCAAGGACTAGGTATCAGCTATAGTCCACTGTGTCTCCTCAGGCCCATGCTTGCTTCATAGACAAGATCCAAAATCCAGCCGCAAAGTGTCTGAGGACGACAGCTACGAGCCCTAGCGTCAGATGGCATTGTGCTGACCGGCAGTGCTTCACTCACATTTCTCCAGCCTCACAAACATTTTTTTTTTCCTCCAGCGTCTCACTATGCAGCCCTTGCTGGCTGAAAACTCACTACGTAGACGAGGCTGGTCTTGAACTCACACAGACCCACCTGCCTCTGCCGGGATTAAAGGCGTGCATCACCACAAACATGTTTTTTTTTAACAGGCAATTCATGGAGCACTGCCTGTGCCGGCCTGTGTAGAGCACGCTGCGTGGGCAGTCTGGGTAAGCCTCACAAGGACCGTCATTTTCAGAGGGCGACATGCGCTCAGGGTGCAGAGAGTTCGGGCTTTTCTAGCTGACAACATGCATCTCTGTGGTCAAGGCCTGCTGCGGTTTACCATCAAAGACAGAAAACACCCAGAAGGCTCGGCTTTGGGTCACACAAGCTGGATGCGTACCAGACGTTCCCAGGTCAACGTCGACAAGCGTCAAAAGGAATAGCTAACCCAGGCCCTGTAAGAACAGGGCCTTTTATGGGCCTTTCCCCACCGAGTCTACATGCAGCCAGAGCCACCTTCCCCTGGGTAGGGTCAGTGTGGTCTCATTGGGCTTTGGCCTACGAGTTCCTGGGAGAGCATCCAGTCTCTGGATACCCTCTGCTGCTGGAGACAGAGGAGGTAAGAAAGGGCCTGGGTGGTGTCTCCAAAGTTTCACAGCCATGACTCATGGAAGTAAAAGAAACTTGGGTCATCATCCTGAAAAACCCCTTACAGATGGACAGATGACAGATGGACAAACTCTGGGTCCAAGATGGGCCATACGTTCAGTGTACAATGGGGCTGGTAGCCAGGACTGGTCCTGGGAGCACTAGCATCTAGTTTTGTGCCTTCATCCTCTCAACTTCTCCCAACCTTCTTACTCCAGCCTGTTCCTACCGAGGGGAGGGCCAGCCCTAGGTGTTCTCTAGACACCTTATTTCGAAGCCGTAGGAGGGCATACCCTTTACCAGCGGAGGGAAGCTCCTGCCAGGGTTCCTTGAGTGTCAGCAGGCAGGCTGCAGGGTGGGTAACTCTGGGGGTGGTGAGTCACTGGCAGCAGGCCTTCCTTGTCCACACTCAAAGCTCAGCATTCTGGAAGTTGTGCATGCAGGGGTGACACACAGAGCCAGGAGAAATGTCTGGTATGTCCGGTCACTGCTGATTCCTGCAGAATTGCTGTCGTTTTCTCCTGAACCACACCACACAGGCTGTCAAAGCTAGTGAGACAGCTTGTCTCATCCAGGAGTCTTCAGAGGGGCCGCAGCTTCCCCATGAGTAGGTGGTCCTATATTATAAGAGGATGCCTGGTGGCAAGCCCTCCCATTGCTCTTGGTGAGGAGACCTTCCTATAGTTTTGGGGGGAACAGGACAGATTATCATATCCATTTTACAGCCGAGGAGACTCAGGCTCACAGAGGCCCAGTGCTTCGTCTCATCACACAGCTTCTAGACCTCAGGTTCTCTCCCTTCCACTACATTACCCTCTGGACAGGCTCTCTCAAGCTGGTCCTGTAGCCACACAGAAGCAACAATGCCAAGCCATTCACAGAACCAAAGGGCAGAGGCAAAGTGCCAAGGACAAAAGTTGAGGGGATGGTTGGAGCTTCTTCTCTTATAAAGGCCTGGTGATGCTGGGCAGGGTCTCCTGTCCACAGGTTACAGTCAGGCTCATGTGCTCTCCCTGACGAGGTGGGCTCTTCAATCCCCAGAAGTGTGGGAAGGGGATGCCTCGGGAGCTTAGGAGGGAGCAGCAAAGGTCTGTTTGAGTTTGGTTCTTCTGGTGGTGAACCCCAGCTGGATCTGGCCAAAGAGGCTCTGAAATGGGTACTTGGCCACGGGCACTGAATCTGGTAGACATAAATGGCTTAGACTCAAAGATCTGGCCGATAGAAGTAGCTGGGGAGGGGGGGGGGGGACGGGACGAGGAAACGGCCACAGAAAGGAGAAGCACCACTTCCCAGGGAGGGGACCTTAGCCGACACCCAGAGTGCGGAGTAAGGGTTAGTCATGGTTGCAGTTAGGGCCTTTCTCTCTATTGGCACATGACAGCTCTGTGGTCTTCTAAAACCTACTGAGTGGGCAGAAAACCTACAGAGCTGACCTGTGGGCCCTGCAGAGCAGACAGCACATGCTCTTAGACGCTTCCTCATCTGAGGCTGCCCATCTTCCCAGGGACTCTGGGAAAGGTAGCAATGAGCTCCTCTTACAGGTCTGCCAGAGGCTCTTGAGTTGAGCAAGTGGGATGATTGACAGGATTCCCTGACCTGGGTAGAGGCTTGCTATCTAGTCCCATAAGGAGAGTACCCTGAGGGTGGGGGCGGGAGAAGGAGATGCCATTTATAGGATTACACCTTCTAGACACAGTAGGGAGATATGAGAAGAAAGTCCACTTTGGGGCAGTACAATCCCAAAGACTTGGATGGGGGTGGGACTAAAGTCCTCAGGCCTGAGTGCCAACCCATTCTTGATATCAGTAAGTCAAGTCAAAAAAAAGCAACTTCTTTGGGGGCTTCCTTTGTAAATTGTAGGGTTCAGACTGGGTGATTTCAGTTCCTAACAATAACAAAATGCCCACGGTCATGGTGGATGTCTGTAAACCCAGTACTTGGGAGGTGAAGGCAGAGGGCCCTGTGTTCAAGGTCAGCTAGGGCTATACAGTGAGACCCAGCTTCAAAAGATAAATAAACTCTAATAAAAACATTACCTTAACTTTCATATGGCTTTAACATTAATGTTGCCTTAGACCTTTGTATATGTTTGACCCTTGTAACAGCAACAGCCTTTGCATGGTTATTTAGATTTCCTTGCACAAAGGCTACGTAGGCTCTGTGTTGGCACCAAAAATGTTATTGTAATTATTGCTATTATGTTCTTTATCAACAAATTATTATTCTAGGAATATAAGTCTCTATCATGTTCCAGAAAATGCAATTTCTTTGAAAGTTGGAAAAAAAAAGATAAATAAATACATAACCAACTAGTCTCCCAAATGAATGGTGAGGTCTCCATCCTAGCGCCTGAGTGGTGGCTAAGCGCATGAGTCTAGAGTTGGGCCACTCGGACTCAGATTGAAGATATCATCTGGGAGGTGAGTTGAAGCTGCATGTAACTGAATCTTTTTGTGCTTCAGTTTCCCATCTGGGGATGACGAACCCTTCCACTTCCCTCCCTGAGATCATGCCAAAGGATGCCAAGGTAGTTGGCCTGTAACTTGGTAGGCCTGGGTGCTGTCTATTGGCTGCCCCCATGCTGTTGTGGCTGGCTGTTCCTAGTAGAACCCGCAGGCAACCACGCCATTTTCAAAGCTCACATCGCAGCATGCTTGTTGCTCCCCCCACCTTCTCTCTTACAGCGTATCTTCACACTGTTCTTCGCTTCAGAATGGTTTACAGTTTAGCTCTGGGTCCTATCTCGGGATGAGGGTGGGGGTGGGGTCTGGGGGGCTCCTGAGAGGCCCCATACAAGGAGACAGGGCAAAGGACAGGATCAAAGGTTAAGCCTCTCACCTGGGAGCCTTTCTTGACTCGGAAGCCTCAAAGGGTGGGGCTTCCTGGGGCTGAGGATCCCCTGGCTTCCTACCTGACCGGTTTGGAGCTTTTTAAAGGAATGACTGAGTCAGCTTGGTTTATCTAAGCAGCAAATGACCGGTTGGTTTCTCCCTGGGGGCAGCAGCCCTGGCAGTAAAAGCCACTCTGAGCATTAGAAGCTGTCCTAGGCCCAGGCGAGCATCTCATCACAAGACACTCAGAGATAAGCCTAAGAAACGCACAAGCCCGCTCTAGGTTCCATAAATTGTGCCCTCCTTTAGGGGAAGGGAGGCAGCCCACTGTGACTGGCATGTGTGTACATACCCGTCGCTTCCACCTCAGATACTAAACATCTCAAAGCCAGGGACCTTCTCTTGGTTACTTCTGCCTTCTCCCTGACACTAGAGGTACCAGTCACCTCAGATGAAGGGACCACTTCTCTCCTAAGCATTCAAAGCTTTGACAGAGTCTATGAGACAAAAGAAATCTCAGAAGTAAATCAGAAACCGTTACACGAGGCTCACAGCCAGCTCCTCAACTCGCAGAGGCCAAGAGAAAGTTCAGGAAACAGCGCACAGCCCTAGAGGTCAGAAAAACCTTGTCCTGGGAGTCGCCACACCAACTCCTCTTGCCTAGCGGGACCCAGTAGGAACCGAGGCTCTGAAGGGAACACTGCCTGCCCCTGTCCACCTGCGCACTGGGCAAAGGGCAGGTGGTGCTCATTCGCTGAGGAGTTTAGATGGCGAACAGATGAAGAGGGTCTTTCTGCCACAATAGAGGAGGTCATGTCGAGCTCCTCTGTTTTGTGATGCCGGGACCTTAGTCCTCAACCTACTGAAGGCTGTTACTCCCACACACCAGAGCTGAAGTACCCAACTACCTTCCTGGGTTGGGCTAAGGACACTTCTCCCAGACAGACACTCTTGACTCTGTGGGTCAGCCTTGTGGTTCACTCTGGACCTGGGTGGACCTGCCTTTGTGTTTCCCGCCTCACTGACACTCCCCAAGCCACAGAGTGGGTCCCGGCTTCACACCGCTCTTCATGTTGGCCACACTACTGCTTTCTTTTTTTCAATTCTGTCACTTACAACAAGTTATTCCACAGGTCGGTGTGCTTTCTGATGCTGGACGGGAGAAGTCCAACCGGGCATTTGATGCTGTGAACAAGTCACGTGGGGCTGGCCTTTCTCTTTCCTGCCTCCAAGCCTCTGCCACATAAGAGTCCCAACTAGGCATCAAGACGTAGTCTAACCCTAAGAACTCTAAGAACGATCTATGGTCCCTTTCCTCCGGCTTCCCCACTCCTTCAGCTCGGTCATTGCAGGAGCTGGTTTCTCCTCTGCAGTCCCCCCCCCCCAGACCCTGCAGGGAGGCGCCCAGTCTCTGCCCGCGGCACCGAGAGCGCCGCTGGGAGGAACTGACCCAGCCCTTGGCTCAAAGATGAGGAAACTGAGGCTCGGAGACGGAAGTGACCGCGAATCAAAGCGGGCTTCAGATGCCCGCATCCTCCCGGCGTCTCGCCCCTTTGTCCACGCCAGCGCGACTGAGTTCTCGGTAATGTGGAGGGCTGGCGGGGCTGAAGAGTAGCCGACGAGAGGATGACAGGGCAGGGCACAGGGTGCCTCGCACCCACGGGCCCAGCAGGCCCCTCCCGGCCAGACCCAGACTCACTTTGCTGAAAGCGTGTTGATGGAGCCGGTGACCAGCATGAGCCCGGCCAGGAACAGCTGGTACTTGGTCCAGGCCATAGTGGTGGACAGGGGAGACCACTTGAACCAGCAGCTACACACCGGGTCATCCAGGAGGTGGTGTCTTCCACTCAAGAGCTTCCGGGCCGAGAGTCACGTGACCTTGCTGGCCCCCGCCCCGTGCCCGCTAGCCCCGCCCCAGAGCTGCTGCGGATCTGCAGGCTGGCGAGCTGGAGAAGCACAGGGTTTGGGGGGTCACAGGCCACGCTCACCGTATGTTCCTCTCTCTGTCTCTCTGTCTGTCTGTCTGTCTGTCTGTCTGTCTGTCTGTCTCTGTCTCTCTCTTCCCTCTTTCCCTTTTTGTCTCATGCAAAGCCCGCTACTTCTGAGTGGCCTTCCGGTATGGAAAATGGGTGCTTGGAATCAAGCAGAGATGATTAGGCGATCTTAGACCACTTTGTTCCTTAGAGCATTTTGTAAGCAGTTTTGAAAGGTTGAGCCTGGCGACTTGGTAGTAGGCACAGCGTGGGAATCTCTTTTCCCCGGGATCTCCAGAGAACTGGAGGCCTGGGAGATGTCCCTAGGGATCCCCCGCCCATGAATTGCTCACTTCTTTCAGTCAAGTGGCGTAAGAGTCGAGTTCCAGCTTCCAGTAGGGTGTTCTACAGCTAAAACTAAAAAGAACAAGCTGGATGTGCAATCCCAGCACTTGGAAGGTGAAGGCAGGTTGAAGCTCAAGGCCAGCTTCCACCATACACGAGACCAGCCTGAGTTACTAAGTAAATAAATAATTAAAATAACACGGAAATTTAAACCCAGAGAAGCCCAAGGATTTAAGGTCATGCTTATGAGTCGCCGAGGTGGTGGTGGTGGTGGTGGTGGTGGTGGTGGTGTGTGTGTGTGTGTGTGTGTGTGTGTTGGGGTCATGGACTCAGGTTTTTCAAGACTGGGTTTCTCTGTAGCTTTGGAGCCTGTCCTGGAACTAGCTCTTTTAGACTAAGCTGGTCTCGAACTCACAAAGATCCGCCTGCCTCTGCCTCCCGAGTGCTGGGATTAAAGGCGTGTGCCACCACCCCCTGGCGGACTCAGGCTCTTTCAGCTCCTAAATACTATGGTTTGGGTAAAGTTTTTTCACCAAGCCTCCCCACTTATCCTTTAGAATCCTCTAATGCTGCCCTGAGGCATCCAAACAGAGACCAATGCTAGGTTTGTTTGTAGGGGATTTCTAGCATTTAGTCAGTTTTTGAAAAAGAATCTTGTTATATGATCCAGACCGGTCTCTAGCTCGCTCTGCACTCCAAGGTGGGATTCAGTTCATGACTGGCTTTCATTTTTTTCTTTTTGGTTTATCAAGAAGGTTTCACCGTGAAACAGTCCAGCCCTGTCCTGGAACTCTCTCTGTACTCCAGGCTGGCCTCGAACTCGCAGAGATACACCTGCCTCTGCCTCATGGGTGCTGGGATTAAAGGCGTGTGCCACCATCTCCCTTCTCAAAAAACTTTTTTAAAATTACATTTATTTATTGTGTGTATGTCAGAGGGCACATATTGCATGTGGGGCTTAGAGGAGAATTTAGGGGAGTGTGTTCTCAGCTCCTGTTCCTTGGGCTCTAATCTGCAGACTATGCCCTACTGTAAGTTAAAAACAAAAACCCCCAACAAAGAAAACCCAGAACACCCTGATAGCCGCTTTGGCCTGGTATACATAGTCCCTCCATTTCTGGAGGTACAGACAGACGGTCTCTTGACCTCTTCTTGGAACTTGTGACCATGGATAGTATAGACTCAGAAAAATCCTCAAGGGACTGTAGCAATTTTTTTTTTGTAAAATCAGATGGAGAATGTATTATAAGTGGGGTCTAGAGGAAGGTTACCAAAATGAGCGGCAGACACTTTCATGGAAGAAGATGCATGGGTTTGACGGCCCAGAGGCAGGAGAGAGTGTAGGACATGGCTTGGACCTCCAGAGCATTCTCCAGAACTTCCCTTCACTAGACCGTGCTCTTTTTAGTTAAGTGGGGGATAAGAGATCCAAGAGGGGACTTCTTCTGAGTTTTGTGTCCACCACGGCATCTTTAGTCTTGTGTGATTTCAAAGGAAGTCATAATTTATCCAAAGCTGCTTACTGAGACATTGGAGACATCAATGAGACACAACTGTGTCCTAAAGGGACACCATCTGCCAGCCTCTTCCCAATGGGAGGCCATTCTTACAGGTCACAGTCGGTGGGATTCTGGACTATTTTCCCATAGGTTCAAGCCAAGGATACTGTCCTGAAAGTAAACTTACTAATGACATTGGTGTCACTAGCCCGACATGATGTCACTTGCAGTGCGGTCTCTGTCTCTAGAGCCACATTATAAAATGAATTTTAATTTATTATATCATGTTGCAAGCATTCATCAAACAGCAGTCTCTGGAGTCTGGTGCATACAAGGATTTATTGGCAAAGGCACCAGAGCCCACCAAGTGTGAAGCCCAGAGTCAAGTACGAGCTCCCAGAGCAGCCAGATGAGGTCACTGCCTTCAAGGGGTTCAGAATGCAGCAGAGGAAAGGCAGGGGCATTGACCATACCCGCTGTGAGAACCTGTAAAAGGCAAAGGATTCCTCAAGGTGGCAGGAGCTCGGGGGTGACAGTGACAGTCGGAACTATGTGAGATCTAGTGTTCCGTCTGCGTCAGGCCTGTGTACAGAGGTTGATCCGTCCGTTTTCTCAGCAGCCCACAACTGAGCTAGTTCATTTCACCTGAAATACTGAACACTGGAAACGGCGAGTTCTATAGTAGAGAACGCTTATTGGCAGAGAAACCAAATGTGGTTGTGGGAAATGACTTCCTCCACTTTCTTCTCTTCCTCCTTTTCCTTAAGACAGGTTCTCACATAGCCCAGGCTGGCCTTGAATTTGCTACAGAGCTGACCATGACCTTGTACTCCTGACCTGGACTTAGGGTGCAGGATCCCCTGGGTTCTGTTCCTAATACCAGAAAAGAAAGAAAAAGAAAGAAGAAAAGTAAAGAGGAAAATGAATCTTGGTATCGTCATGCACGCTTTAATCCCAGTAGTCAGAGGCAGAGGCAATGGATTTCCCCGGAGTTCAAGGCCAGCCTGGTCTGCAGAGAGAGCTCCGGGCCAGACTCAGTCAAAAGAAAGAGAGAGAGAAAAAAAGGAAAGCAAAGGAGAAAATGACAAGAAAAGGCAAGAAGAGCCTGAGGAATACTCAAAGCTGTCCTCCAGTCTCCATGTGGACGCACACAAGCACAAACACAAAATGAACAATTATACTTCATCATGTTTAGTGTATGTATGTCCCGGGTAATATACAGTTAGCTGCCGATAATAACTTGGTCAACGACGAACTCCAGATCGTGTTACCTGGTGACACTGTGACGGTGTTAGATGGCAGCCTGTGATGGTCACTCTTTCTCACCTAATGACACATATCTCAGAACGTGTGACACCTATCTCAGAGAGTGTCCCTGTCTGTAAGTGACAAAGACTGCAATAGAAAATGAGTCACTCTCCCTCTGAAATCAAATTTAACAAAGACTGCATTTTAGCAGAATCGGCCTTAGTTCTGCTCCAAGAAAAGAGTCAAACATCAAACTTCTAGAATCCAATGATTTACCCCCAAGTGAGTGATCAACTCTGGCTAAAAAGAGAGGGGGGGTGATAGAGGAATAAAGAAAAGAAAGAGAAAGAGAATAACCGTATGTGAGCCTGAAGCTGGAAGGAGCAGTGACTTTTTTTGAATCATCTCTGGTCACCATAGAAACCAGTTGTAAAGTCAGCTAAAAGGAGCTAGTGAACCGACGTCCACACGTCTCTGCTAGTGTAGACTATCCCTACCCATCTTCCCCATGGTGTAGACAGTCACACACTCTCCTGTCAGGTCTGACCTGGTTTCCTTGCCTCAATTTCTCTCCCAAGATATACAACCCAGCCTTCTTTCTCTCAAGTCTCTTGCTTTCCTGTCCAACCACTACCTCAAATGGCTGCCTTTCAATACCACCCCCACCCTGAAGGGAGAGGACAGCAGAACATCCAGCCTGACCAAAGAGAGATCACATTCCAGCCAGAGAACAGGATGTAGGGGGGAAATGACCCAAGGATGTAGGGGGTGCGGGGGAGAGGACACAACTGTTTTTAAAATTCAAATCTGACTTGGCCCGTCTGTGCACCTATCTCTCTCTGTCCTTCCCAAGATAAAATAATTCTGTTCTAATCCAGAATGTGATTCAATTGGTCGGGAAAATAGACTTTCAGACAAGCCGCAAGCAGACTGGCAGTCGGTTTTGAATACAAACAGGGTCTGCGGCGAGCGTGTATTTGGCACTGGAAGTTAGAGGTTCTTTGAGGGTAACATGCAAATTTGTTGACGATGCTCCTGGTTTACCGATCAAGTTCATGTAGAGCAGGAGGAGTGCTTTTTGAAAACCTCAGCCTGAAGTTTCGTGCTGCTCTGTAGCTGGGTCCAGGTCTTACAAACTAACTCTGGCTGCTTTGGGTTCACCTCCACATCAGTCTTCCTTGCTATACAAGCTGTGAATATGGTTTCCCTTTTTTACAGAAAGGAAAGTAATGTAGGTTTTGCAAAGTTGATGTGGAAGCATACCAGCCCGCTTGGAATTTGCCTCTTGAGGCCCTAATGGCTTAGCTCATCTCCCTGCCCAGTGTGGGCAGGCATACCAACTCCAGGTTTCATCTCCCAGGTCCAGTCCAGCTGATGGCAGATACCTGGAATCTCTCTGTAAGTCACTCCCTAGAGTGATTTAGAGGCTGCCCAGCCACTCCGGGATATCCAAGTGTCTTTCCTACTAGTAGTGACACATCTTTTCCACCTGGAGCTACCCTGTACTCCTTCAGGGCCCTGCTTTAAAGCTTTCCTGAACCCGAGTTTCACAAGACCCACTCGTAAGCATCATTAACATAAGAGGTGACAATTGTCAGTATACGTATACATTAGAGTTCAGAAGCCTCGCCCAAGGCCCAAGGCCCAGCAGAAGAATAAGATTAAAAAAATCCATTCATGGAGGCACACACTTATACCCCAGGAAATCCAAACTTGCCAAGCCGAGGAACACAGCCACCCTCTTTCCTAGTCATGTAAAGAAGCTTCCAATGCTGAGTTATAGAGGCGTCCACCAGCCCAGCATCCAATGCT